TGACTCTTTTTGCAACTTTTCAGCAACTTTGTGAGAAACTGCAGGCAAGTTTTTGGGAAATCTCGAGCAACTTGTCGAAAGCTCTAACTCTGCCTACAACCAAAATGCGAAAAAATCACTCAAGCAGGAACCAAATGTAAGCCAAGACACGCATGCCTTGTGCGGTTCCAAAGATATCCATAACGAGGGGAGTGAATAAGTTTTCGGATCAACGGATTTGGCCTTAAAAAGCATACAGACTGTAGATTTTTGCGGTAAATCAAGCAGATTCGTGGATTTTAAAACCTCAGTGGAATCATGGATGAGCTGTGAATTTTGGCGCGGATTCCAGATTGTGCCTGTCTTGATGTTCGGATCTTGGGTCCTAAACGAAATTTGGATCATAGATCTTTTTTTCAGCCTTGGTCGGTATGTTAATGAGTTCATTCAAATTATTTCTCTTTTCAACAAAGCTCATTTAAAATTAGGTGTGAGACTGTTATTGGAATATTGTACTGAGTAATAGTCATCAAGCATGTTGAGTATGTTGCCTTCTTTACTATTTGGGCAAAATTAACAATGGCATTCACATTTACCAGTTTACCTTTGAACTTTTACACTTCTGTTTCCAGAGGTGGTTGTGGTTTCGGATTTGAACAAAAATATTGGCGGATCGATGGATTTGGCCAAAAAAAGGCATGGATCGATGGATTGGCATACCCCTATTCACCCCCCCTCCATAACCACCATATGGAATGTCATAGAAATGTTGAGCAAATGGTGTGGGAGGGTCTTCATTGACTTATCTCACTAAGAACCCTTACTATATGCTTGACCAGTAGCAGTGACAATTTTGATTTTTCAAAACAGGCTCATCTTTACCCACACAAGTACGGCAGTACATATTATGCTCGCAATACAGTATATATACTGTAAGGTTTTAAGCCATTAACACCGTCTGATTTACACAACCACTATAATACCGACGCTAATAACACGCCATTAGTTATTGGCCTAAAATGTTACAGTATGTAAT